AGTTTGCTCTGGAGCCATTTTTCCTGAGATAAGACAAAACTGTGTGAGCCAGAGGCTCAAAAACTGTGAGCTAGCTCACACTAACTCAGCTTGGAGGGAACACTGGACACAACCACCACCTGGAGGTGGTGACACAACCCAATGCCTTAAGCACAGTAGTATTAGATGTGCTTACTTGGTTATAAGATACATTACTCTGGGTCATGAATGGGTAAAATTGTGCGTGTTTCTTTACTTGAACAAGTTACAAGTTACAGCTTGCATTCAGCAATGGGCCACCACAGATCTAATACCAGAGACAGAAGTTTTATATCACCGCTTTTGCATGGAGTGAGCTGGCAACATTTGGTTTCCAGCCATCAACAGTGCACATATGAGCACACATAAAGCTGCCCTTATACTGAATCAGACCACTGGTCTATCAAGGTCAGTATTGTCTACTCTGACTGGCAACAGCTCTCCAGGGTCTCAGGCAGAGGTCACATCACCTATTACCTGATCATTTTAACTGGATATGCCGAGGATTGAACTTGGAACCTTCTGCATGCAAAGCAAAGGCTCTATCACTGAGCCACAGCCCCTCCCCAGTATTAAAAGGGGTGGGGAACCCTGAAATCTACATGCACGTGTGAAGTAGCTCCCTGCATATCTCACAGAGCAAATTCAATCCCTACTTGTGTTTTGACTGCACGAAAATTCAGAAACGCATAAAGATGTTTTACTATTTCTATACGGTGCCATTCAGCAAACATGGCCATTGTTAGCTATTTTCTATTCTGTGGATGCTGGTGCAAGGAGAAATCACGATTTCGACATTTTAAAACAAAGGGTCTTGACACACACTACAAATATATTTCTCAAGAACATTTTGACACATGTACATTTGTTAACTTCCTCATCGGTCCCTCACCCTGCGGCTGAGATTTTTTAAAAAAAATTCTATCAAATCTAAACTTGATTATCAAGAACAAAAATTGCAGTGATTTGATGCAAACATTATAGTTATGGATTACAAAACTTCCCAAGTTTTCAGTTTGGTTTTCAAAAGTGTTTTTTGAGATCGAGAAGATGCGGGGGGAATCGGGGGATGCTGCGGGTCAAAATGCGGCCATGCAGCAAGTAGCGGGAAATTGACAAATACAATCAGGGGAAGGGAAGGGAAGAGCGAGGGCGGTGCAGCTGCTTCTGGGAAATCGGTCAGACTGCCCTGACCTTTTTGTCCCTGGCTAGCCCAGTCTCATCAGATCTCCGAAGCTAAAAAAGGTCAGTTAGTACCACCAGCACTTTATCTGTTATTTGTTATCTGTTATGTATATAAGTTTTATGATGGTGCATTGTGCTTAATGCATTTGTGT